CTTTCAGAATGCTACTAAACAAAGGCAATTGTTACCCGATTCTTGTGGAGCTGTTACGTCATTCACCCAGTCTGACCGTTGTGGTCAATGTGTGTGGTACTTTATGGAATCTGACCGCGCCAACCACCTGTCCGGCCGAAGATTTGGTCGCACTTTGTCGCCTCGGTGTGATTGACCTGTTACACATGTTGTCTCGTTCCCCACACGAGCTGATTCGCAATAGTTCCACAGCTGTGTTACGCAATCTGATGCATCCGAATCAAATACCCGCCCCGGTCACAACAACAACAACATCCACTAGCACCATATCGACTACCACGAATTCGGACGGCACAACCATGATAAATCCCAATACCGATGCGGAATCGCAGACTAAAACTGAGGCGGATACAGTGTCGTCTGATCAGTCGACTTCCAATCAAACGGTGGAACTGCTCTATCGTCGACGTGTTAGTGCACGCTCCCGACTGCCATTTGGTCTGTTGTCCGTTGTCCTTGAAGCGGATGATGATGATGAAGTGGCTGCAGAGAATGAGTCGGACGAGGAGGAGGATGAGGATACCGAGAATCAAGGAGACGATGAAGATGGTGAAAATACGGAGGCGGATGATTTGGTCGCATCGATCTACGCCCATCAACAACACGATGCTCAAGAACGATCCAAAGAAGAACTGGCTATGGACGATCCAACCGGCATTTTGTTGCATCCAGATAGAACGCATTCGAATGGGGAACTGGAACCGTCAGATTGTTGGGCTCAACTCGACACAGGCTCTGAGGACGAACAGACACGTGTTTACGCAGAAGAGGGTACACCCTTCCCGCCAGATTCGGCAAGCGCGTCCTGTTTGGAACTGCACGAGCCACAAGTCAGTAACTCAGATCAACAACCGACTAGGTCGGTGCACACATTTCCCGTTATTGCGTCTTATCATTCGAACGATATGTTACCACACGTGTACGCATTGGAAGATAGTCCTCTACATTTGCCCGGTGAAGCTAGTCCTAGCGCTGCGGGATCGGCGAGACCTAGTGAATCTCTGGGTCTTCTTATCGATTCTGGCCCTGAGCCGTTACCTCCGGACGATGCACCGTGTTTACCATCCCCGCCACCGGATGTATCTAACTTG